GTGGCCCTAGCGGGTGTTCACAGGCGAGCCCTAGCGGGTGTTCACAGGTGGCTCTAGCGGGTGTTCGCAGGCGGGCCCTAGTGGGTGTTCGCAGGCGGGCCCTAGCGGGTGTTCGCAGGCGTCCCCTAGCGGGTGTTCGCAAGTGGCCCTAGCGGGTGTTCATAGGTGGTGCCTTACCTGAGAATGCTCCTCTAACCAAGAGCAGCCTGTGCTCCTGCCTTGCTTTTCTTCTGGAGTTGGGACCTGGCAGGCAGAAGAGGAAGGAAGATGGTTCCCTTGACACAGATTTCTGGGTCCAGGAACGGGGAGGAGCAGGGCAGAAGCTCCTGGAGCCAGGGTGCTCCGAGCAGGTGGACTTGCATTGACCCGGGTCCAGGTGGGCTGGCACACAGGAGGGGTTGAGAGCCACCTGAGACCATACCTGAACACCTGGGCTCGAGCGAGAGACCTCCTGGCCTTGGTGATCTCCTGGGCTAGTGTCCTCAAGTCATCCCCTTCAAACCATGGCAGTGGGGGGTCCTGGGAAGGGGGAGTGAGTGTGAAGTTGGATCTGTTATGTGACCAGATGGAATCCAAAAACTCCAAACCTTCCAAGTTTAGAGTAAGTTAAATGCGACCTGTGGTGAGGGTAGGAAATCCGGTGGGCCTTTGTTTACATGTCTCTGGAGGCGAGGCCTGTAGGTGGTCATTCTGTGTATAGGATGCTTAGAGATCAGACAACCAGGACTTGGGTGGAAAGTGAGCAGGGGCAAACCCAGGTGGCCCGTGAACCTCAGTGAAATCGACTCCTCTCTAGGCCGAGAGAGATGGCATCCGCTCCTTAGCCCATTACTAGCCACTCAGTAACAATGGCCTTACCCCATCATTTCTCCTAGGAGAGGACCACAGGAAGGCTTTTAAAACTGTAAACTACTCAGATTCCAGATTCCTAGCCTCATTTTTAAATGTTTGTGGTACTAGGGATTGAACTGAGGACCTTCACATTGAGCTACATCTCCAACCCTTGAAAAAAATATTATTTTAAACTTTGAGCTGGAATCTGGCCAAGTGGCTAAATTGCCCAGGCTCAGCTCAAACTCCTAACCATCCTACACTGTCTCTCAGTGCTGGGATTAGAGGCGTGCACCACCATGCCCAGTGAGCAGAGTTCAGCTTGCTTCTCTCTGTCTCTCTCTGTCTCTGTCTCTGTCTCTGTCTCTCTCCTCTTTCTCTCCTCTCTTACTCTCTCTCTCTCTCTTCCTCTCTCTCTCTTTCTCTCCTCTCTCCCCCCTCTCTCTCTCCTCTTACTCTCTTTTTCTCTCTCTGTCTCTCTCTCCTCTCTTTCTCTCTCTCTGTCTTTCTCTCTCCTCTTTCTGTCCTCTCTCTCACCTCTTTCTCTCCTCTCTCTCTCCTCTCTTACTCTCTCTCTCTCTTTCTCTCCTCTCTCTCTCCCCTCTCTCTCTCTCCTCTTACTCTCTCTCTGTCTCTCTCTCTCCTCTTTCTCTCCTCTCTCCCCTCTCTCTCTCCTCTTACTCTCTCTTTCTCTCTCTCTCTGTCTCTCTCTCTCCTCTTTCTCTCCTCTCTCCCCTCTCTTACTCTCTCTCTCTCTCTTTCTCTCCTCTCTCTCCCCTCTCTCTCTCTCTCCTCTTACTCTCTCTCTCTCTCTGTCTCTCTCTCTCCTCTTTCTGTCCTCTCTCCTCTCTCTCTCTCTTTCTCTCCTCTCTCTCTTTCTCTCCTCTCTCTCTTTCTCTCCTCTCTCTCTCCCCCCTCTCTCTCTCCTCTTACTCTCTCTCCTCTTTCTGTCCTCTCTTCTCTCTCTCTCTTTCTCTCTCTTTCTCTCCTCTCTCTCTCCCCCCTCTCTCTCTCTCCTCTTACTCTCTCTCTCTGTCTCTCTCTCTCCTCTTTCTGTCCTCTCTCTTCTCTCTCTCTCTCCCCCCTCTCTCTCTCTCTCCTCTTACTCTCTCTCTTTCTCTCTCTCTCT